TTCTATCCTTTGCTATAGAATACAGCTTTCCCCATGTCCTCCCCATCTTTTAACTTCATTCTTCAGCTCCCTTCTCCATGTGTTTTTTTGGCCTTCCTTTATTCCCTTCGGGCTTTCTCCACACCGTGTCATACTTCTTCTATTTGAAGAGCCTCTCCTCATCTTGGTTGGCTGAGTTTTATTTGCTTCTCTTTTTGACTTTTCCATGGTTGGTTGGTTTTTGTGGCTATTGTTTTTACAGAAGGAGGTAACCAACCTCAAGTCCAACCCTACACTTAGTCGCCTCTTACAACATGCTTGGTAGAGTGCAGTGTTACTATTCTTTGCTTCCCATAGTACTATTTGCAGTTTCTATCATAATCACAACCAAAATCAAAGCAAAATGTGGAACAATGGAAATTACATATTGGTCATAAAAATAATATGACATATAAATAAAAAAAATAACAAATATTCACTCCCTTAGCACTATATATCCCAATTATAACCCTAAGGGTTGAAACGTTTATTTGTGAAAAATTACTACTTCAAGTTCTGATGTGGAATCTGTCAATATTACAGCAGTCTGTGAGTCAAGGTTGGCACTTAGCTATGTCTCTGTTGCTATCCCGATTGCTTGTGTTTCTGCATCATATGTTATGTGCACTGGTTGTAGCGTAATAGAACCGTATGTTTATAAACATATTTGTACTTAGTGATATATTTAATATACCAGCGACCTTTACTTTCCATGACATTTCCTGGTAAACATTTTTGGCTGTTTGGACCTGATAGCCCAGGTCAGTTCTAAAAGACCCACTTTGATGAAGAATCAAACTCATGATCTTCAGGCTTGCAGGCATGTGTCTAGCCACTGCGATATTGCATCATGTAAAGAGTAATCATGAAATCATGAAATCATGAAATCACACGAATGCTAGGAATAAAGCCAGTCTTACAGGTCATCAAAGAACAACAAATGAAATGGTTTGGACGCCTAACAAGAATGCCCTGGTACTATCTGCCACAGCGAGCCACACTAAAACGTTACAACGGGTATAAAGCGAGTGGAAGACCTCGGAAAATATGGAGTGATGGCATTAAGAACAGCCTTACAGAAATGAACATGAGTCTTAATAGTGCTCTTGACAGAGCTCATCAACGAACATTACATCTCCCCCCGACACTTCGATGAGGTACAAGGTGGAAGAGAAGAAGAAGAAGAAGAAGAAGAAGAAGAAGAAGAAGAAGAAGAAGAAGAAGAAGAAGAAGAAGAAGAAGAAGAAGAAGAAGAAGAAGAAGAAGAAGAAGAAGAAGAAGAAGAAGAAGAAGAAGAAGAAGAAAGAGCAATCAGTAAACACATAGATCATTTACTTGGTTCTTATTCTCCTTGTTCTTCTTCTCAATTTGGAGACCATGGTACAGATATCACTCGTCTTCATTCATTTCTGAGACTGGCCTTCTCTTTACAGTATTTATGAGACTGCCTGAATATAATCTCTGCACTAACTATTTTGTTTCAAACTTTTTCTTTCTACTATCTGCTGTTCTTCCAATATATCCCTTAAGAAAGCCCTTAAGATGTGCTGAATAAGCTAAAATTCTTCACAGACATTTTTACAATAAGTTTTTTTTTAATGTTTAAAAGCCATTTTAAAAGTAAGATATGGTTACCAAAGGATGTTAAACAAATGAAAACTTGGGTAAAATTATCTTTGTAAAAGTTACTGAAAAATTACTTTTACTTTCCAGCTTTTAAGAGTTAAATGTCTTCTTCCTCTTCTTTTTCTTTTTCTTCTTCTTCTTCCTCTTCTTGTTTTTCTTCTTCTTCTTCTTCTTCATTTTCTTCTTCTTCTTTCTTTTCTTTTCTTCTTTCTTTTCTTCTTCTTCTTTCTTTTCTTCTTCTTCTTCTTCTTCTTCTTCTTCTTCTTCTTCTTCTTCTTCTTCTTCTTCTTCTTCTTCTTCTTTTTCTTCTTCCTTTTCTTCTTCTTCTTTTTCTTCTACTTAATGTTGCCCGGCTGTAAACTCTGGTGAAAAGTTCTGGTTATTTTATCAACTGCTAGACTTTGGTCCTAATCCAGAACTTGAGTTTTGCATGCACATCCATGTTTCAGATCTAGCTTATTTCTAGATAGATTTTTGGGCTCTCCTAGCAGATTTGGCCGGCAAGCTAGACGGCGTCGGCCGGCTTAGTGGGAGTTATGTCCCTTAGCCAAACTCAAAACAAGTCGCGGAAAAAGTCACGAATCAAATGACATACTTACCTACCATCATCCGGGTGCGTGTAGGGTTGCGTACGGTTGCGTCTAGGGTTACCTATCATCCTACGGTTGCGTGTAGGGCTGCGTAGGGTGTCTATCATCATCATACGGTTGCGTGTAGGGCTGCGTAGGGTGTCTATCATCGTCCTACGGTTGCGTGTAGGGTTGCTTAGGGTTTGGGTTAGCGGTAGGGTTAGGGGTTAGGGTTAGGGGTTAGGGTTAGGGGTTAGGGTTAGGGGTTAGGGTTAGGGGTAGGATTAGGGTTAGGGTTAGGGTTAGATGTGAAAATTTTCACGTAAGAGGTCGAAATACTGGCCGACAGTCTGATGTTTGTGGGAGTGGCGCCACTGGAAGTGTGGCAAATATGACGGCGCGAGGCTGGTGCCCAATCGGTGGCGAATTGTCCGTGTCAGTAGCATCCACCGTCCGTCGACTGTTTGCGCGTGCATGCGACTGTGCGCGATTATAGGGAACTACGGCGTCACAATTGTCAAATCTAACGCTACACCTAACCCCTAACCCTAACCCCTAACCCTAACCCTACCCCTAACCCTAACCCCTAACCCTAACTCTAACTCTATCTCTAACCCTAACCGTAACCCTAAGGCTACCCCTAACCCTAACCGTAACCCTAACGCTACCCCTAATCCTAACCCTAACCCTACCCCAAACCCTAATCCTACCGCTAACCCTAACCCAACCCCTAACCACGCAAATTTATCGGTCATTAAAGCTTACAGATCAGCAAAACACCCATAGACAGACACACAGAAAAAAAAACCCAGATTTTCCCGCAGCGTCAACAGAAAAACCCAGATCTGGGGGACACAACCAAGCATTGGCAGCCCTGATGTCGACCTCACTGTGGTGTTTGAGTCGTGACTTTTTCCGCTCGTTGTTGTGAGCAGTGTTGCCACTTTGGATCTTTTATATCCAAATTTAGATCTTTTTCATTGCATTTAGATACTGTTTTTGATGTTTAGATCGTAAATATTTTTCTAGAATTTTCATATGGAGTTAGATATTTTATAGATTTTTTTTTTCTTTCACTGTCAATTTAATAATTACTGTGTAAAATAAATATCTGGCAGCCCCGGTTCTGATTAAAAAAAACGCGCGTAAATCATACTAACTTTGTTTCAACCGTATCCTTACTGTGCTGACTTTGCGTTTCTTTTTCATGTGATTTAAAAAAAAATAATTGCTCAATTTCTTATGTGGCTTTCACTTTGAAAAAACCTTTCAACATGCCAAAAGTAAAGTATGAGCAAAAAATTTGGAAAGAGTGGTTGCATGATGTCAAAATTAAAAACTGGGTATATAACCAAAGCTTGTTGTAAGTACTGCAAGTGAAAAATTAAAGCGACAATTAAAAACTCAAAGAGTCATGCAGAGACTAAAAGAAGCATAAAACTGCAGTTTCATTTAAAGATATTACACCGCTGACATCTGTTTTCAGAACTATACTGATAAATGAATCATCAAAAGTTGAAGTATCAGTAGGAATGTTTTTAATTTGTCACTGCGCAATTTCAAACTGTGACCATTTGATCGATTTGTAAAAAATCTTGGATTAGCTTAATTGGAAAAGTGTGATGTAGAAAGTATAGTTTAGGAACTGAAGGACCTTTTAATCAGCAAACAGGCTTGAAGAATTTAGCTGTAATTGGTACTGATAATGCCTCAGTGATGGTTGGTATAAACAATGGCGTTTATGCCAAGTTGAAGGAAGCTAACCCATTGTTAATACTTATAAAATGTATGCGTCATTCATTGCAGCTAGCATTATCACATGCTTCATCTAAATATTTACCAAGGAATTTGGAATACCTTTTTGCTGAAACACTTTACTGGTTTTACAAATCAATTGTCTCTCAAATGCTATCGTGCCATTACAATTCGGCCTAAGAGACTAGAGAAATAAGCCTACTGTTCCACTTATACCAGGGTCATTTTGGATCTGAAGCTTCAACTTCATTATCCAAGCTAAGTTTATCCTGTTGATCTTGTGAGGTAGACATCAGTGAAGGTGAGGACATGATTATGTAGGGTAAGTCATAACAAAAGCTATGTCATTTTTGACTTTTTCAATTTGGATATTTTTTCTAGATCTTTTCCACGCAGATTTAGATCTTTTTAGATATTTTTTGACACCGTTTGGATATTTTTTGTCAAAGAAAAGTGGCAACACTGGTTGTGAGTGCGGCCAAGGGAAAGAACTCCCACTACGCCGACCGAAGCCGACCGACTTGCCGGCCAAATCTGCTAGGAGAGCCGATTTTTGCTTCCTTGCCTCTCAGGCAGATGAACTCCCACTTTGAAGGAAAAGTCGCCTTCTAAGATATACTTGTTGGGGAAAGGGGGCAATGGGTTTATCATCAAAAATATAGCAGAAGGAGTTAACTCATTCAGTCCTAAACAATGCGCCTTGTGTGTTCGGCTATTGATACCAACCCAGAAATGGCAGGGCCGGCTTTTTGCCTGATCATACTTTAAAAGTCTGGCTAGTTATTTGAATGTCAACTTGGAATATGACTGTTGCATCTATGACAGTTACACTCTCACACATTACTTATGTTCACTGTGATTATAATCACACTGATACCTTGGAAAGTCCAGCTAAATAACCTGGTATACAAAGAGTTAAATGTAATAACCAAGACAGCCTGAAATAAACCACACAAAAATAAAAATGACAACAGCTACTAACTCTCAAACAAGACAACATGCAAGTTATAAAAGAAAAAGAAACAGACTTACTTGTGTAGTGTATACCAGCTTTGACAGATCTTCATAACTTGGAGTTGACTTTCCATCGAGAACTTCATCAATTTCTTCAATTACTTTGTCCTGCACATCTTCATGTCTTGCCAGCAGGTACAAGATGGAACTCAATGCTGTAGATGTTGTCTCAAATGCTGCTAAAATCAGAATTGTTGAGTTTCCTATCACCTCTGTCCTAGTGATTTTCCTGTCATCTGCTTTAAGGTTGTTAAGGTTGGTCTCTTCTACCTCCGCATCCAGTAACATGTCCAGCATGTCTAATTTTCGTTTGGTGGATAAATCTGTGGAATAGAGGAGTTTTTGCTATTCTAAAAATGTGAAGGCAGATGCATATTCATGTCTATAATTTTTGTTTAAACTAAAAAACTAGATAATACACAGTATCTAGGTATGGATGTAAATCTGTATCTTTTTTTTTTGGCCTCCCACAGAAAAAGATTCTTTCATATGGCCTAATCGAGGACTGGAACCCAGGTCTCCTAAATGAAAGACCAGAATACGTAACCACTTGGCCATCAACTCCTGAGCATTGATTGGCTGTTTGTGGTTCGGCTATGAAAACTTTCTGAGACTGTTTGGGAGCCTCAATTTGAGGGAAATAGACCTTTGTGGTACGTGCCAGCACCTTGTTAACCTCTTCTTTTTTTTTAAAAAAAACCTGTTAAATTGTATTATTTATTACCATCCAGGATGCAGCTCTTGAAGTTGCTGGGGTGTGAAACTTTCAACTGGCTAGATGGCACAGGCAGACGACACAATTAGAGATCTGTGTATGCTGGAATATTTTGGGAGAGGAGAGAAGTGGGTTAAACTGTCAGTGCAACAGACAAGACTTGTATAGATTAGTAATTATACTTGGTCGGGTATGCAGGGACTGACCAGTAGGCGCTGCAGAATCAGAAACTCAACAAATGATTCATGAAATTTCTACCCAGGTGATGTGATTATCTATACAGATGACTGTGTTGAGAGACAGAATACATGTGTGGGGATTCATTGCGAAAGTGAAAGGACGACGCCTAATGCACCAAAGTCTAGTTTATGAAACTACATTTGTTTTGAGAATGGAGGTGAAGGTAGTCACAACAGCTTTCCGCTCGGAGACCCAGATGCTTGACAACTCACAAAGCATGTAAAGAAAGGTGGAGACAGGCATGCTTCATGCAGAGATGCAAGCACGGCTTGAGAGGTCCCACCCAGGTAGTAAATGTTGTTTGGATATTTTCTCCAGGTCATGAAGGAGAAAAATTAACAGTCTCATTCTGCACTAATGTGTGGTGAACTTAAGCATGACAACCTAAATGTGGTCAAGTTCCTTGGGGATCAAAGGAACAATGTGGAGGCACAAATCGATCTTTATGGTCTGGAGAGAATGGTACAGCTAGAAGCGAGCAGAGGATCTGATCAACACTCTACACACAGAAGAAAGGCCAAAGAGACACATAATAAAACTACTAATGGTACCATAAGAACTGGAACCCTTAACTAGCCACTAAAGATAAGGGAAGAGCACTGATGGAATGTCTTGAGTCCTGTGATAATCAGTTCTTACCTCCACACTCAACACTCAAGAGTAAAACAGTAATTAGCTAGTTAGTCATTACGGTTCCGGCATCACAGCAAACGAGCTTGGCCCATAACTGCTCAACCGCCTATGCCAGTGATTCTATTCACAAACTGAGTCAGATATGCTGGATACTTCAAGTGAATGCCGTAGCCATACAAAGTGTCCTCAGTCAGCAAAACACACACGATTTGATAAAAACAGTAATTGTTAACCACTATGCAAACTTCACAAGCTTGCTACTCCCAAATAAGCAACATGTATGCAACTTGTGTAAACCAAAACTATAATACTCATAACCACACCCAAAAATTTTTCCAGATTTATGTAGCATGTGCAGGCCAAACATGAAAAGTAAAACAACACAGCATGTGTTAGTAGAACACACATAAATAAGAACCAAGTCTTAACAGTCTTCTTCTTATTCTTACTGTTAACCAGCTGTAATCTCTAGATGGAAAGTCCTGGTTTCTGTGTCCACTTCTGGACTTTAGACTTGTTTCATAATTTGAGTTTTGCAGGTACATTCATTTGACAGATCTGGCTCATTTATATGCAAACTGTAGGTTCCCTGTCTCTCAGCTATAGTTTGACTGACTTTGAAGGAAATACCCATAATAAGTCGTCTTTTATGACATGCTTGTTAGGGAAAAGGGTCTATAATCCCCCCCCCCCACCCACAATGGGGTCCAAAACCCACATATAGAAGTAATTAAATTACCTAAGATTACTTTATGGGGTTATGTCACTAGTTACTTTATTCATAACTGAAATAAACACACGAAGGGACGAGCTTAATGTCCATTTCCTACCTTTGTTACTTTTATCCTTCTGTTTGTTAACAATGGCGTCGTTAACAAAGTTCACAAAATATTTCTCTGTCTCTGGCAATATAGCATCTACTTGCTTGTTGAACAGACGCAGTCCAGCTTTCATCACAAGGGGGAAGAACTCTCCAATTGTTCTGTAAATTAAAGACACCAGAAGTGTATGAACAAGTCAGAATCGTCTCAGACACACACACACACACACAAAACACTGAAGATGGGTCTTGGGAATGCTCACCCACCTACCTGTTTTTCAAGGTACTATAGGGGGCAAACTCTTGTTTAAGTGCGTAAAAATAATAATTCTTCTCAGTGACACAAACACATAATAATATAATCCTCAAATTTGCACACAGTGCTTTGAACGCATTGGAATACAAAATATAATAAAGCATCACCCCGGCTGACTTTGGGGGCGCTAACATAACCTAACGGTTGAACAGGGTTTCTGGGACTTGTGCCGGCATGATTCTCATCCGAATGGTGGCACTTTGTGTCACCGGGTGTTTTATGGCTCATTTTACGGTCCTAGAGGAGTTGAACTTCACTCACGTTGGACGTATCATTCACTTTATAACCTAAACAGTTGAAGGCGGTTTCTGAGATTTGTGCCTGTTTGATTCTCATTCTTGAGATGTTAAATGTCCTATAGAATACAATCTTCAGACAAAACAAAACCCAAAAAATGGGGGGGGGTGGGGGAAGAGGGGGGGGGGTGTTTGGAGAATTATGCAGTCAAACAAATATGGAGCTACCTGCTCGAAGCCCCTTTTTCTGTTTCACCGGGTCTTTAGTGGGATTTTATTTAGTAGGAGATTTTGAAAATGAGCTAACAACAAGCCAGACAGTCATTTAGTCAGACAGACAGACAGACAGACAGACAGACAGACAGACAGACAGACAGACAGACAGACAGACAGACAGACAGACAGACAGACAGACAGACAGACAGACAGACAGACAGACAGACAGACAGACAGACAGACAGGCAGGCAGGCAGACAGACAGACAGACAGACAGACAGACAGACAGACAGACAGACAGACAGACAGACAGACAGACAGACAGACAGACAGACAGACAGACAGACAGACAGACAGACAGACAGACAGACAGACGGACGGACGGACGGACGGACGGACGGACGGACGGACGGACGGACAGACAGACAGACAGACAGACAGACAGACAGACAGACAGACAGACAGACAGACAGACAGACAGACAGACAGACAGACAGACAGACAGACAGACAGACAGACAGAATATGAAGTGCATTTACCTCAAAATATTTTGAAGCCTAGTTGCAGGAATGCGGATAAAATTATTAATGTGATATGCAAATTCACTGTTTTCATCTGTCAAAGCCTTGGAGTCCACGCCAAACCCCACTCTGGCTATAACATCTGATGTGTACCTGGCTAAAGTGGACAGAAAACGTGCTAAATGTTTACGTAAAATTATAATACTTTTCGGTCCTGTTCACGTTTACCGGCCCATCTATACACTACATGATATTTCATTCTTACTTTCTCAGGCTCTTCTACGTTGGAGGGGTGTCATGTTGCATTCCCTGCATTTACATCAACGCCAATGTCGCGTGTTCTATACTACACGAAAACATGGCTTTTAACTACCCTAACCCAACCCCCCCCCCCTCCCCAACCCCCTCCAACCCACAGCCTTAACCTTGGTCACACGAGAGACTCTTTTCAAAGAAAGCAGTACAACATGACACCCCTCTCACCTAGACCAGACTGAGAAAGTGTGTAGACAGGACGGTAAACATGAACAGGTCCCACTTTTTAACTACAGTAATTGAATACACGCACGCATGTACGCACGCACATACACACACACTCTCTCAACAGTAGCTGAAAAATGCGCTACTGCTACCAACTTAGGATCACCTTGTGGCTTTGAGAGCCTCGTTGTAGGGAAAGCAAGAACAGACCCACTGCTTCCCCTAAAGCATGTCGTAAGAGATGACAACCTGGGAGCTTTCTTCGAAGTTGGAGTGCATCTACCTGACAGGCAAGGAACCAGCAATGTGCATACAAATGAGTCAGATCTGTGAAACGGACGTGCACACAAAACTGAGGTTCTGGAACAGAACTAAGTTCCAGAAGTTGAGAAACAAGCAGAACTTTCCGCCAGAGTTTACAGCTGGTGAACGCGAAGATGAAGAAAGTACCAACTTTGTGCTATCAATGCCAGACTGGGACAGTGCTAGAAAACCATAAACGAAAAATTACAACATGCGAGATGAGATCATAAGAAAGGGGTCGGGAAAAACAAGAAGAGACCGAGTTACCAATGAAGAACTAAGAACAATAGTAGGCACAGTATCGGTAAACGATGTCATAGAACATTAAGGAATCATATGGTTTGGTCATGTGGTTAGAATTGAACAAAATTAGCCAGCAGCTAGAGAGTACTATACGAGAACAGCAGGCTACAAGTCAAGAGACCGACCAAGAAATAAATTAATAGAGGGATTTAAAAAGACACTACAGAAAAACAAAAAACAAAAATTAAAACAAGCTATTCAACTAACAGGTTTGAGATTTGAACGACGAATCAACATCATGGCACACGGGTAGTAACCCATAAGGGCTTCGTTTTTCTTCTTACTCAAGTCTGAGTCCGAAGAAGCCCAGCACCGTGCACGGGCTCTGTAGCACCGGCGAGGATGCTGAAATACTTTGGGTAGAATTATAACTCCAAATTTTGCGCGGGCAGCGACATCAGGCTACTCTTTTCGATTTACTACTGTCAAGGGATTTTTACGTGCGCAACGATGCACACGGGCGTCCGATCTCACAACACAGAGACCAGGGTGGATTACTAGAAATGCTAGTCCACGTGAAAAATTCCCAGCTCTTACGGGGACTGAACCCGGAACCTCCAGCACTCGAGGCGGATACCGTGTCTCGAGACCACGCAGTCCCCCTACGCAAGTAGCAAAAGTCAGGAAACTACATACAACTTCGTTCTGCAACGCTTGCCAATAAAAAGCAGTCAGACAAAAGAAGAAGAATGAAATTAAATACAAAGGGTGTCACAATAGCGCAGCGGATGCAAGTTTGCCTGTCAGCCCTGGTGTCTTGAGTTTGCATCCTCAATGAAGCTCATATAAATAATCTGGACTGCGAAGGTGACCCAACGTTAAATGTGATGGGAAGAAAATGTGCTGGGAAGAAAATGTGATAGGAAGCAAATGTGCTGGGAAGTAAATGTGCTGGGAAAAAAATGTGCTGGGAAGGAAATGTTCTGGAAAGGAAATGTGCTAGGAAATGTGCGTATGTGTGTGCGTGCGCGCGCACCAGCCATGGTAACGTAGAAGTCTTGAGTTCCAGTTAATCTTGACCCAGTCTCGAACGGATACCAAGATATGTGCAGTGTTGGTCAAACCTTCAGGTAGCAACTGGAAAGAAAAATATTCAGTTTTATTTCAACAGTACGCTTATATGGTTGGGAAATACACGTTTCTGCTCTGTATTTTCCTTAGCAAGCAATGCAAAGTCAGTCAGCCAGTCATTTGTTTTACAGAGCATGAAGATGCATTGACTATGAAAGCACATAGGGGTAGCGAATTGCCGAGAGACCAGACTTTCAAGCATGTTGTGAACAGAGCGACGTTCTGTAAAGAACCTGTTGATTGACTGATTCTAAATGCGATTATTTCAGTTCCATCATCATCCACTATCCATTGTTACATACACTCTTATATGATTACCTGCCAACGCCTTCAATGGAATCAACTTCTTTTGCTCTTTGTATTTCTTGATAAGGGACACAAATCCGGCCGAGCTTGTACTGACATGGGAGAGCATTTGCTTCAATCTGCCAGCAGTGAACATGGGAGACAAAACATGGCGGGATCTGCACCAGGCGTTCCCGTTGAGGAAAAACAGACCCTGTTTGTGGAAAATTAGCTTATTTAAATGCTGATGTTGTTTACACTCCGGCTTTTGCCAGGTACCGCAATATAGGCAGGCCATAAATATGGCCAATTGTCTGAACGCTGTTTCTGGGACCTCTCCACGGCGATCCTCATCCACATGGTGGCACTTTGTGTCATCGGGTGTTTATCGCTTGTGTGATGTCCAAGTGGGGTAGAAAGTCACTCACTCACTCACACACAGCAATGTGATTGTTAACCTAAGTGAGTTTCGGACCCAAATGTGTGTGTACTGCCAGACAGGAAGAAACCAGTAGTCTGCATATAATAAACCAGATCTGTCAAACGGATCCCTACGTCCCTTTAGGACGACATTTTTTATTTTTTTTTTATTTGAAGCACCACTCCGGCTTTTTCCAGGGGCCGCAATATAGGCAGGCCATAAATATGGCCAATTGTCTGAACGCGGTCCTCATCCACATGGTGGCACTTAGTGTCATCGGGTGTCTATTGCTTGTGTGATGTCCTGGTGGGGTAGAAAGTCAGTCAGTCAAATAGATGTACACGCAAAAGTTAAGTTCTGGACAAGACTTAAGTGATATTAATCTAGTTTCGTCCTTTTTTAGGATGAATTTTTTTTTGTTTTTTGTTATTCGAACCCCACCCTGGTTTTTGCCAGGGGCCGCAATATAGCACGGCCATAAATATGGGCAATTTTCTGAACGCGGTTTCTGGGACCTCTTCACTGCGATCCTCATCCACATGGTGGCACTTTGTGTCATCGGATGTTTATCGCTTGTGTGATGTCATGGTTGGGTAGAAAGTCAGTCAGTCAGTCAGATTTAAGTAGTGGTCTATTCCCCGTCTTTTTTTAGGATGGAATTTTACGTTATTTGAAGCCCTACTCTGGCTCTTGCCAGGGGCCGCAATATAGCCTGGCCATAAATATAGCCTAAAGGCTGAACGCGGTTTCTGGGACCTCTCCACGGTGATCCTCATCCACATGGTGGCACATTGTGTCATCGCGTGTTTATCGCGTGTGTGATGTCCTGGTGAATTAGAAAGTAAGTCAGTCAAGATTTAAGTCTAGAAGTCGACGAACATTCAAAACTTTCCGCCAGTTTACACACACTTTCCCTAAAGTCATCCCCCTGTGAGATGGAATTTTTCGATATTTTGAAAACCCATCCTGGCTCTTGCCTGGGGCCGCAATATAGCCCTGTCATAAATATGGCCTAAAGGCTAAACGCGGTTTCTGGTACCTCTCCACGGGTGATCCTCATACACAAGGTGGCATTTTGTGTCATCGGGTGTTTATCGCTTGTGTGATGTTCTAGTGGGGGAAAATGTACTACTACAACTACTACACATGGTTAAAGTTGATGTCAACAATACTATGGAGCATTAGACTGGTGGACAGTAGTAAATATCTAACGTTAACACGATTGCATGACCTTGGAGGGAAACTTGAGGTAACACGTTGGTGTTGCATTTTAGGAAACGATAGGAGACACTGTAACCAGCTTTTCATGGGAACTTAGTTCAGGTTGGCTGCTGCATGAGAGGTCTGAGCGCTCATTGGAATGCGCAGTCTGCGGTGAAGAGTGATGTCGATTGTGATACATAACATAACAATACTATGAGAATGCTCAATGTGCAGTGATGTCGATTGTGAAACATAACATAACAGTACTATGAGAATGCTCAGTGTGCGGTGATGTCGATTGTGAAACATAACATAACAGTACTATGAGAATGCTCAGTGTGCGGTGATGTCGATTGTGAAACATAACATAACAATACTATGAGAATGCTCAGTGTGCGGTGATGTCGATTGTGAAACATAACATAACAATACTATGAGAATGCTCAGTGTGCGGTGATGTCGATTGTGAAACATAACATAACAATACTATGAGAATGCTCAGTGTGCGGTGATATCGATTGTGAAACAACAACAACACTATGGGAGCACCAAGTATTCAGTAAGCAATGGTAAACTACCGAACGTAAAACTGCACAGAAAAAGCACAAAAGGCCACAGAATGTTAAGGCTAACTCTACAATACCCTGCAAAGGAATCGCAAGTAAGTCTCTGGCATGAGAGCCAGACATATTAATTGCTCGAACCACCGCTCCTCTGCAAATAACACTTAACTAACAAATATCACTAAACTAACAAATAACACTTAACTAACAAATAACACTTAACTAACAAATATCACTAAACTAACAAATAACACTAAACTAACAAATAACACTTAACTAACAAATATCACTAAACTAACAAATAACACTTAACTAACAAATAACACTTAACTAACAAATATCACTAAACTAACAAATAACACCAAACTAACAAATAACACTTAACTAACAAATATAACTAAACTAACAAATAACACTTAACTAAAAAATATCACTAAACTAACAAATAACACTAAACTAACAAAAAACACTTAACTAACAAATATCACTAAACTAACCATTAACACTTAACTAACAAGCAACACTAATCCCCAAGAGTAAAATATTAAACAAATTTAACGCTTTTTCTTGTTGTTGTTGTTGTTTTTCTTCTTCTTCTTCTTTATTATCCACGCTGTATGGCGTTTGTAGTCATGTCTATCAAAAACTTCCTTCTCACGTACTTTCAATCAATTTTTGACCCGGATAATCTTCCATGCAATGATGTCAAACTGTCCAGCATCTGCTCTTTCGGTCTCCCTTCACCTATTTTTCCCTCTAATTTTCTCTTCCACCTATTTTTTCCCTTTAACTTTCCCCTCCACCGCGACGTACTTCAGTGTTCTCCTTCTCGTGACCTATCTAAAGAATATAGGTTGTCTCCCCCTAGCTGACTGACTGACATTCTACCCCACCAGGACATCACACAAGCGATAAACACCCGATGACACAAAGTGCCACCATGTGGATGGGGATCACCGTGGAGAGGTCCCAGAAACCGCGTTCAGACAATTGGCCATATTTATGGCCTGCCTATATTGCGGCCCCTGGAAAAAGCCAGGGTAGGGCTTCAAATAAAATAAAAATTTCGTCCTGAAAAGGATGTAAGTATGATATTAGGTAGTCTCCCCCTAAAGTGGGCAGTCAATTTCTTTTCATTAATGTTTTAGTATTTTTTATTTAAAAAAAAAAAATACATATTAAGATCGCAAACAATAAATTAAAACAAATAAATAAAAGAAAACAGAAACAAGTCAATGAATAATAATAGTAATAATAATAATAAAAAGTAAGGTAAAGGACCCTTATCCACGTCTTTAGGCATATAGGGCATATAGGTTAAAGGTTAGTTGCGTATCCTTTACAGGACGTTGCAGAACCAACCCCAACAGCCCCTGGCTGTTTTATGGTTTTTCTAGGCAAATTTACGTCCAGTAGTTTGCCATTGCCTGGGCATATAGTGCTAGACCTATATTTTTATAGACCAATCGGCACAAGATGGGTGACGTGGTCAGCATCACGCCGACCGCCTTTACTTCCCGGGACTGCACCGGGTACCCACCCAAAGCTGGGTCGACTTGGGAGCCAAGGTCATTTAAAAAAAATTATAATAATAATAAAAATAATAATAATAATAATAATAATAATAAAGCGAAACACCAACAATAGAAAACTGAAAACAGCAGCAGACAGATCTTACATGAGTGACTGAGCTGAGCGTTGTATTCCTTCCTGCGCGATCCACAAAATTGCTGAAGTCTTTAACCATCACATACTCAAGCAGACGTGTATCAAAGGTCACAAGTGTCGCACATCTAGGGAACAACCCATAGATCCCAAACGTGTTGCCATACGTCTTCCTCCACTCATCCAACATCTTGGACAGACCGTGCTTTTTCAGCTCTGGTGAATGATTGACGATTGGCCATGGAGTGGGACCAGGGATGCCAACTGTTTTAAAGACACCGACAAAACTTGTGCAGTAATAGTAGAATGCCGCCAGAATGACAGTAAAGAGGAGAAGCCAAGTGGAAATCTCACTCACAAGTGGAATGTACATCTGTGGAGGGTAGGGGATAATGGTGGTTATTTTAGAGAAAGATAGATAGATGTGATCGTTAGTGATTGTAAACATAAAGTATTAAAGAAAACGTTTTAAAAGTTATCTCTTACAGCCCCAAGAAGCTATTATTTTAACCATGTCTATCCCACAATGTTGCGCTTGAAAGCAATAAATACTTGGATCTGAAAGAATTCAACAGAGACACAAAGGAACATAAGTGGTTACACTGATATTTGAGATAGACAGGGTTACTTTAACACCTGTCTGTGACGGAAGTGGGAGCAGACGTGGTATAGCGGCTAGACGTGAAGGTCATGAGTTCGAATCTAAACGGAGCAGGACTTTTTTTTTAAATGATCCATTTTACAGATCTGGCATACTTATATGCGGACTGTTGGTTCCTTGCCTCTCGAAGGAAGCGCCCAATTTGTCCTCTTCCTCATCCTCCTCACCCTCTTCCTGCTCCTCTTTCTCCTCCTCCTCTTCCTCCTCCTTCTTCTTCTTGTTCTTGTTCTTCTTCTTCTCCTACTCCTCTTCCTCGAGCTACCTCATCGAAGCGCTGGGGAGAGACATTAGGATCTTCTTGATGGGGAAGGAGGTGGGGTGGATCAAACGGGACTGAGCGCCCAGGTTCAAGTGTTTATGGTTCAAGTGTTAACAACATATGTTAGATAGTGACTCGATGTTAAGCAAAGTTTATAGGCCAGAGTTTGAATTACACCGTGTGGCTGTAACTTTATGCACAATGTAGGTCAGTGTGTCAGCACACCATGTAGTTTTCATATAAATAAACAAATAAATAAATAAATACCACAACACTATGTTTATTTTTCCGCGTTAAAAAAATATCGGAATGCATAGTGTCCATTGTATTTTGAATACAGTGGTACCTCTATACTTTCGCTGTCGTACACGTTCACCTTGGAATACGACCTTTGTTTGGAGTGAGAATTTGTATGAGGCACAAATTAGTTAAGACATTGCGTGCTATCTTAGTTCACCTCTCGCGAGACAAAACCACGGATAGACGTCCATGACTGTGCAGAGAAGTATCACCACAACAAATACCAAAACCGTAAAAGCTGACCAGACAATGTCACATTTCTGAGGTGATATCACAAGAAGAAAGCAGAATTAAAGTTCTTTAGACAAGTTTCTAGTAAAAGTCGGCCTACCAAGCAGCGGAGGTTGAAACGGAGGCTGACTAGAAAGAATATTACTACTAATCTCACACTTACTGCGGCTTCCATCTGTTGTCCGCACTGCTGAAGAACTTCCCAGGCTCATATTGGACTAATCAGCCAGCTTCGTACTCATAATCATTGATCATTACTACTTTGGATGAAAGTGGTCTTCATCACGCGTGATGACAGAACAACAACAGTAAAAGTCAACTTTAATACCTTCAACCAGGTCCAAAGAGCGAGAAGAGACCCACAGTTCTCCTTCCATACAGTAACATCTCTTTCTTCTTCTCATCAGGATCCTAGTAGGCACTGGACTCTTTTGTCAGCAAGGTGAAAGGGTGAATTTATAGCATCGAATTTCTTTTGTATTTATATATTTTAGTACTAAGCAGTGTTTAAAGGTTTCATTTAAATCCATTAATTTATTATGTGCCAGTAACAATAAGGATTATTAATATCATTCTTCGTTATTTCTTATAGAGAAATTAGTTTGGTATACGTTCTATCTGGTATACGTCCTGTTCGGTATACGTCCTATCTGGCATAGTCTTGTTTGTTATACGACCTGTTTGATTTACATCCTGCTTTGTATATGTCATGTCTGGTATAAGTCCTGTTTGGTATACGTTATGTTTGTTATACGTCCTGTTTGGTATACGTCATGTTTGTTATATGACCTGTTTGGTATCCATCATGCTTGGTATACGTTCTGTTTGGTATACGTCAGGTTTTTTACTACCTGTTTAGTATACATCCTGTTTGGTATACGTCCTGTTTGGTATGCGTCCTGTTTGGTAAACGTCCTGTCTAGTATATTTCCCGTTTGGTATACGTCCTACTTGTATACGTCCTGTTTCTTATTCGACCTGTTTGTTACATGTCCTGTTTGGTAAATGTCCAAGGCTTTGGAACGGATTAAAGACGTATACGGAGGTACCACTGTTTTCACTTCTGCTACTTTAAACTGGCTACTTTATTCTGCTAAGGACACTAGCTGTCAGTACCTTTACATACCGATGTGAAACGTGGACCTTACCACCCAAACTGACAAGGAAAGTAACAAGCATTGGAAATGCGACGCACTGGCAACAATTGATTTTTTTTAAAAATACATAACTTAATAAATAAGATCAGGTCAATATTCTTGACTTGCCACATCCACACAGTCAGGCTATTCCGGTTTAAATCTCTTTGCCTTTTTCTTGCTCTCTTTCCATCAGTCGTATCAGTTGTTACCAAGTTCCCAAGTCCAATCCTTCTCATTTTATATAAAAATAAATATGGATTTCTACGACCCTTTTGTTCTAATAAGATTACGTTAGTTGCGTATACTTTAGAGGACGTTGCAGAAACATACTCCAATAATCACATCATGAATGCCGGTATCACACGGCAAGGTCAGATAATCCATTCAATCGCCAAATCCACTGACTGGGGCTGAAATGGTTGCACCATTTAAGGAGAATGATTCAAATGATGCCAGAAGCGACAGCGTACACCATAAAAGCCGAAACACCAAGAGGTAAGGAACGATCAAAAGAAGGCTATCATCCGAATAATGGTCCTAAATTATCAAGGAGGAAAATATACCCTAACAGGGCCTCAGTCACGTGTCAATTACGCACTTCCGTCGTCTTAAATTGCACACTTCCGGCGACTTCCGCCACCGCTAAGTATCCCTACGCCGCTCACGCGGCGTGGATTGGGGCTAAACTAGATGACTGGGACTCACGACCAGCAGCTACCGCATCTCCTGCAGCTTCTTTCATTTTATTTGCTCGTGAGTCCTATTTTTCGCCTCGATAATTTAGGACCGTTATTCGGAGGATAGCCCAAAAGAATATGAATTCAAGGAAACACTAACACCTTGAAACTACAATATCGCAGCATGCCCTAGCTCGGATACTGATCATTTGTTAATCTGCGACGCTGGGAGGCACACAGCAGAATATGGATACAAGTAGAAAACTTAAACGCGTTAAATTTAAGCAGACTTTAAGTTTTATAAAGTTAATGACATTATAACTGTCTATGAAGTCTATCTTCAACATCTTTTCGCCATATGACTGTTTTAACACATGCCTGACAGGCTGTGAGGCCACACATCTTACCTTCGAGGAAACTTAACTAATGATCCAAATTACCCGAAACCTAATCAACAACACACAGGCTTTTATCACGGCTAGTCGGTCTAAAAAAATCGTGACACGGTCGGTCACTTCTTATACACAAGATAACAAAGGGGATTGCACCACAGCTTGTCACGGGTCATTAGACCACTGCAAACTAGAACGAAAGGTTTACAGGTCGGACAGGATCTTTGCGTTTATTACACTGGCTGAATAATGGCTTTTTTTTTTTTAATGGTGTGTGAATAAGTTTAAAGAACCTATTCAAATGTGTTTCACGTGTGGGTTCTTGGAAGAAGAAGAAGGAGAAGAAGAAGAAGATGCAGAAGACAAAGAAGCAGAGGAAGAAGAAGAATTAGAAGAAGAAGAAGAAGAAGAAGATTCAGAAGAAGAAAAAGAAGAAGAAGAAGACAAAGAAGAACCAGAAGAAAAAGAAGAAGAAGAAGAAGAAGCAGAAAAAGAAGCAGAAGAAAAAGAAGAAGCATAAAAGGAAGAAGAAGCATAAGAAGGAGAAGAAGAAGAAGCATAAGAAGAAGAGGAAGCAGAAGAAGCATGAGAAGAAGCATCATAAGCATAAGAAGAAGAAAAAGAAGAAAAGAAAAGAAGCATGAGAAGAAGCATCATAAGCATAAGAAGAAGAAAAAAAAGAAGCATAAGAAGAAGGAGAAGAAGAAGCAGAAGAAAAAGAAAAGGAAGAAGCATATGAAGAAGAAGAAGAAAAATAAGAAGCATAAGAAGAAGAAGAAGCATAAGAAGAAAAAGAAGAAAAAAAAGAAGTAGAAGAAGCAGAATAATAATAAAAGAAGAAGAAGAAGTTTATGCTACAAAAATCAAGGGCCTCAATGGCTAAGTGGTTCAGCCATGTATTTACCTTGTGCACTAAAGGTTACAGCTTTATTTCACGAACTGTGTTGTTCAGTTGATGGTGCAATTTCTGTTGGGATCATCACAGAAGCTTTGAAGTTCAGGCTTTGTATGATGCTCTTGGCAAGTCTTTAGCAATTCCGCAGAAAGAGGCGCTTTCTTTATTCTGAGGCTGCAGACTTGCTTCACTGTACGTAACTATCACTTTTAATTTTTACTGCTGTCTATTATTAGTTGTGTATCCTTTACAGGACGCTGCAGAACCAACCCCAGCACTTTCTGACTGTTGTAGTTTTTCTAGGCAAATTTACGTCCAGTAGTTTGCCATTGCCCTCTGGACGGTAGGCTCTCGGTACCACGGTCGAAACCATCGCAAGGCAAACCGTCCGCAGTAGGGATCGAACCCGGCACCCCTACATTACGAAGCGCGTTCGCAACGCCTAAGCCACAGACGCTACTCAATGCTGTCTAGTGTGCCTTTATTTCTACTTCTTTCTTCTGCACCGATAAATTTCAGTCAATACATGCACATTTACAGGGTGTCCCATAAGTTTTCATGCACAGGAAAACAGCCAGTCAATACAGGTTAATTTACACAGCGCCCCGTAAATTTCCATGCATAGGAAAACACATTTCATGTGTGTCCCTCACAACTGAAAAACACGTATAAGCACAGCTCGGGTTATGCTTCTAATGGCGTTGGTGATACGTTTATTTTCCCCATGTTTGACAAATTATGGCACACCCTGTATTTTTCGTACTGATGGCTCAAAACAGGAGAGCTGCAGTAGTGTAGTGGTTAGACATACACTGGCCT